CTCCATCAAATCCATCAGTTCTTTCCTATGTGTCATTTTCCCATCTTACTGTCTCCATGATAAATAACCCATTGCCTGATTTTTTAGGGAACTTGAGTAATATTCTCTGAAATTTAAACATTTAAAACCATAGTGCCTTCATCTGCATTGGAATGGTAATTTCTTACAGTATTAGGTTATTATTTTAATAACCTAAAGAAGACACTTTTTTATATTCTATGAAGATCAGTGGCATAGATGTACTAGGTGGTTCATTTCTGCATCAGAGTATTTTTCATCCAGTTAAACTCTGCTTAAGAATAAAATGCAAGTCTCCTCACTGTCTGAACTCTATCTGAATATTTGCTGTAATGATCTGCTTACTCACACAATCATTACGCATCCTGGCAAGTCAGTCTGTTCTGTATTGCATGCAAGAACATGCTTAAGTTGTGTGCTTCTAGGAAAAGGGTGTGGTTTGCTGCTGTTGTATCTCAGACATCCCCCTGATAAAATAGTGTCTTGAGGTCATGCTGCTTAAACACATTGTTTTATAGCCATACTCTTCCCTGCATTATTTAGGAAAAGGTCTTCTGATAAAGTAAGAAAGTAATAAAGGAAATGGGCACGCCTAGGAGGCCTAAATAGGCACACACATGACAAAATCAGTTGGAAGTGACGCCAAAGCACATTCAGAGAATTGAATGGCTGTTAGTCTTCAGCTTGGCCATGCACGTGTCCCCAAGTCCTGTGAGCTCCATACAAATACAGTGCTGAACACGACTGAGCCTCCTTGCAGGTGGGGAAGAAGCTGCTGAACAGCACCAGAGGCTCTAGGGTACACAGATACATGAGTGACAGTCAAACAGGAGGGCAGGCCACCTACACAACAAGATTCCTCCCATCCCCTAAGTGTACTCTTTGCCAGCCCATCAACAGTCTTCAGAACTCTGAGGCACAATGTGTCCTATCTTCCCTTCATTTCAGCCACCCTCCTCACCCTGGTCACCACCAAAATGTGAGGCAGACATTACTGAAAAATAATTGCTCTGACTTCGGGGTGACTTTCAGTCTTGCACGCTTATCCCACGGAGGGACAGGTCACTCTGCAAAAGAAACTGCTCCGACTTTCAGAAGGAGCACAGAGGTGTGAGACGCGGGTGTGTAATTTGTGTATGTATGCCATTTTTTTCTAAAAGGAATCTGATGTTTAGTTTCCAAGACCCATGATAAATACATCAACCATTGTGTGAGCTCATTTTCAGTTTATATTCATTAATTCATTCGTTTGTTATATTTTTATGCCTCAGCAGCAAAGAACTGAGTTATACTCTTACTTGATGGCATGTGATGAACACAGGTCAAGGCCCTGCTCTTGGTTTTCCTTTTTTCTCTCTGCCCCTTCCCACCCACAGGTGGCCCCCTGTCAGCCACCACCTTTAATGTATATTCTTGTAAGAGATGGAGTCTGGTTTTATGTATATATTTATAATTTAGAAAAGTGGCAGTGTGCCCTAGATCTTACTCTGTTTCTTACTCTTTTCAGCCAGTAATACGGTTTTAAGGTCTCACCATGTTACAGTATGTATATCTAGAGTTCATTGCTTTTCTGAACTATTACCAAATTTTCAATGTTGTATATTTCTCAAATTTTCCTTGTTCATTTCCCATATGATAAGCACCTAGGCTGTCTCCAGCCCCCTCCTGTCACAAACGACACTATGACAATGTGTAGTACATGTCACCTTAGACATCGATCTCTCTACAAGTTAGCCTCTGAGGTATCTCCCCCCGGTGGTGGGCGTGCTCAGGCACAGGGCAGCACGTGCAGCTGAAGGCCACTGTTGCTCAGAATGGCTTCACGGGTTTACATTCCTCTCAACACTGTATTACAATGTGTGCTTTCCTCCATGCTCTCCAATACTTGATAATATTCACACTTCTAATTGCTGCCATTCTGATGGGTGAACGGTACTATCTCATTGGTTTGTACATTTTCTATTCTTCCCTTATTAGTAAGTTTGAGTATCTTTTCCCATATTTGTTGGCCTACTTACCTCCAATTTAAGCCCTAGATTTTCTTTTTGATTAAAATATCATTAATACACAATCTTATGATGGTTTCACATAAGCAGCACAGTAGTTTCAGTATTCACCCATATTATCAAGTCCTCACCCACCCCACTGCAGTCCTATCAGTGTAATAAGATGCTGTAGAGTCATTACTTGTCTTCTCCGTGCTGTAGTGCCTTCCTGTGACCTACCTGTATTGTGATTGCAAATTATAATACCTCCTAATCCCCTTCTCCCTCCCCCGCTACCTACCCTCCTGAACCCCTCCCCTTTGGTAACCACTCACCCTTCTTGGTCTCTGTGAGTCTGCTGCTATTTTGTTCCTTCAGTTTTGCTTTATTGTTATACTCCACAAATGAGTGAAGTCATTTGGCGCTTGTCTTTCTCTGCCTGGCTTATCTCACTGAGCATAATGCCCTCTAGCTCCACCCATGTTGTTGCAAATGGTAGGATTTGTTTTCTTCTTATGGATGAATCATATTCCATTGTGGTACCACATTCAGGTACTGTATTCTCCAGCTCTGAGTGGCTCTTTTTCAGAATTTCTATGTCTTTGTTGAAGTACTCCCTGAGATCTTGAATACTTTTCTGCAAATCCATGAGTATGTTTATGACTTTATTTTGAAATCTTTATCAAGAAGATTGGTGGTTTCAGTTTCATTAAGCCCTCTTTCTGGTGTTTTTTTCTTGTAGTTTTGTTTGGACCAAATTCCTCTGCCTCTTCATTTTTTTGTGTGTTTCATATGGAATAATATCTTTGTGTAGGAGGGGCCCTCTAATGCGAAGAAGCTCAGTTTCCTGTGTGAGAGCCCCAGCTGTTGGTGTGCAGTGGGTGTGGCACCTTTCTGTCTTGCTTGTAGTGGTCTGGTTTCAGGTGAGCTGTGTGGGTCATCAGCTGATTGCATAAGCAGGGAGACTACTTGGGGTTTGCCACTGGAGCTGCCATGGGGAGAGCTGCCCTCCCTCCAGGACTGGCGCCTGTTCTCCACAAGTGGCTGGCATCTCAGCCTTTCCAAGTGCTCCACCCATCTTTGCTCTCCAGCCCCACTAATTTCCAGAGCACCGTGTAACATTGGCTGTGTTCCAGGAGCAGATCTCCAGGGCCAGGTGAGCAGTGGTCCTGGGCTTCTACTCTCTCCCTGCTCCACGCCTCTTCCTCCCACCTGTCGGTTGGGGTAGGGGAGGGCTTGGTTCCTGCTGGATCTTGACTTTTCCTCTTTACCCTTTTCTGTGACATTTTTTCTGCTTCCCAGATGTAGGCAGAATGTTCTGGAGTCTTCAGGTAATTTTCAGGATTAGCTGTATTTGCTGTATTTTCATGTTTTATGTGATTTGGGGAGGAGGTTTCCACAGTGCTTCTTACACTGCCATCTTTTTGCCAGAATCCCCTGCCTAAGATGTCTTAATAGCCCCAAATCAGTGGATATGTTAATTTCTTGGCTTGCAATTCCTTAAACCTTAAAAATTGTAAATTTGGACCCCAAATCTGCATGACACAGATCTGGGTTTTGATTTCCAGTAAATGACATTTGTTTCCAATCAAATGCCAAGACAGACGGTGAACTTTTCCTCTAGGCCTGAGGCCAGATTTTGCTGATCATTTTAGGTCTCTAGGTTTTATGTGCTGCTCCTGGAATGGGCTTTAGAACTCCAGATCCCATCCAATGGAGCCTATGTGTGATTTAAAATCCCCATAAGCTACCACCTAGGCACCTTTTTATCATTAGAGCCTGTACTTTAATTCTTTAATTTCTGGCACCCATGCCCTTCCCTTTCTTTTATGTTTGGCTATGCATTAAACCTCTTTTGCTATTTTTTAACAATAATTTTCTTATTTTTGTAGAAATCAGATTTGGGGGAGTGTCATGGGCTGCTTCCTGAGTTTAAAGAGCTGTGACCAGAACTGAGTTCCCATGCTGGGATGGTGCTCAGGAGCACAGATCTTGAGGCAGCTGTGCAATTGGTTTGGCTTATTCTTCATATTTTTGTCTATTTCCCATGCAGTTTCACACCCTCTTCTCATTCCCTCTTTAGTGAGGGTTCTGGAGCTCTTCTGCCCATGCTTGGCTTCCTTCTCATTATAAGAAATTTCTTTACAGGAAAGGATCTGAGGCTCATACCCAGGAAGAAAGCAAGTGCTGCTATCAGAAGTACCCTTATCAGGGGATTTAGCGTAATAGACACCCAAGTTGCATGTCATGGGTCTCTAATTTTTCTGTGAGGAGAAGGCATTCATTCCAATAATTAGAGATTGGAGGGCTGCATTAGTGAAGTTCCGGAGCTAGTGAGCTCAGTGGAGGGGTAGGTTGGATTGGGAGAGGTGACGAGGGATGGACTGTGACAGCAAAGGCTCTGCGTGAGCACAGGGGCAGAGACACTGCTCATTTGGAAAACCTTGAAGAATGGAGGATAGATGGGTGATAGACCAGTGTTAACAGCTTTGAGAGATACAAGATAGGATTTAAAAGATTTTTCTAGTTAAGGGCCCTTGCTGAAAGCTTAATTCAATGAAATGAAGTCATGGAATTCCCTATTTTAGCCAGGGGTTGGGGAGATTTTAGGTATCTGGATATGCCTACAGCCCTTGACGCAGCCTGTACCCTATCTGGCATATTATGAATACTGACTGGTTTTTGGTAGAATTCAGAGGACTTTAAGAATTCAAGAAAAGGAAAGAACTGGAGGTGGAATATCATGATGTCATTCGAGAGGTCATAATGTATATAGTAGAAATTGAGTTGGAGAATCTTCAAGGTCTTTTTCAACTGCAAACACTCTATGTTTATGATCATTTATAAGCACTTAGTCTATACCAGAGCTTTCATTAGCATTCAGTATATTCTCATGAGAATATTTTCTATAAAATTAATTATAATTTTGAAAGGTCTAATACCGGTAGCTAAGCATTTTAATGTGACAGTTTTCCATGCATTCTTCCTTTTTCTAAAAAGGCAAAGTCGATCGAGAAATCTCTGGAGAGGAGTCTGACTGGATTCCACAATTCCGTAGCTGTGAAGACTTCAAAAGTATGACACTGCAAGTAAGAGGGGTATTTCTTTGGTTCCTTCATATGTAGAACATGTGCAATAGGAGATAAAGGGCAGAGTTTCTGAAAGTGTGACTCGGAGACTCTGCATGTTGGAATCACCCAGGGAGCTTGGGGATGATACGGATTCCCGGGAGCCCACCGTAACCTGTCTGAATCAGCCTCAAGCCCCGGAGGGCCAGGAGCCTCTGTTCCTAACAAGTTCCCAGATGCTTCTCATGCCAACTGAGTTTTGAAAGCCACTGGTCTTGAGTGACAGCAGATAGGAACCAGTCCTTGCATAGGTTAATGGAAAGTTAAATAATTATCTGTTAGACGCATTCAACACAGACTGTTAAGACTCTAAAGAATAAGACTTCAGGTCTTATTTTGTTCCTCGGGGATGTGAGGTGTTTCTGATTTCTGTCTCCAAGGGAGTGGTTAGTCTCGCATAGTTCACAGGCCGCCAACTACAGCCTGAATGGATGATCATGGTCTTTTGAGTCAGACGTATGGAGATACGAGTGTGCCTTTGTTACTTACCTGCTGTATGTCCTTCAGAGACTTATTGTCTCTGAGCCTTGATTTCTTTCTTGGTAAAATGGGTAAAAAATATCTCTATTTCACTGAGTTGTGAGAATAAAGTGAACATGCGTAAAATGCTTAGTGCACTTTCTCACTCTCTTCTCCATGTCATTTAATTTCTCTTCTTTTCCATGCCTCTGTCTTTCTGTGTTTTGGTCTGAGTCATTTCTTCAGCTCAATCTTCCAGTTCACAAACTATCTTTCCAGCCATATTCTAACATGCTATTTAACCTATACATTGAGTTTTTATTTTTAATGATTCTAGACATTTTGTTTGATTTTTTTTCACATCTGCCTCATCAGTTTTGAATCTCTTGTTCCTTCATCATATTTTCATGTTTGTTATTTATCATATAGTTTACTTATTTTATATTATTTATTTATTGTCGCGACCCTTCAGGGACCGAAGCGACACGCCCAAGGTCTTGATTCTTCTCTAGGCTTTATTGTCTAATCTCTCGTGGCGGTTACAGCAGTTGTCGGGCAGCTCCTCTCCCTCCCGGTGGGCTCCCTTATATTCAGTCACCCAACCAATCCGGGACAGTATCATGCGTGACCTTTAAGCGGATAGGTGTCACGCGCCACTCTAAGCTGGCAGCACGAGCTGTGCACGGGTACGGAAGTCTGCTGGGCCAGTCCCCAACAGGGAAGAGGGGAAAGGGTGGTGAGCAGGTGTCCAGCTAGAGTGGGGCTCAGCCTCGGCCGTAGGCCGGGCCCCCACAATTTTATATCTACTGACTTGATCTTTGATTATTCCAGTATCTGCTGTTTTTGAATCTGATTCTGCATTTTATTACACTGCCTCTTGTTCATGTTTTGTTTCTTCCTGTGTTTATTAATATTTTATTATAATCTTATGTTATTTGGAACTTTATCTGCATGAATTCTGTGAGCCTTGGTTTTAGAAAGATTCTGTAGAGATGATTTCAATTTCTTTTTACTAGATACAGCTGGGGTCAGGACCACTTTGAACTGAATAATGGGCTCGGAGTGCTGAGGGCTGGGTAGGTAGTCTGTGAATTCCAGCTGCAGATGCGTGTGAGCGTGGGCTTCTGTTTAGCAATTCCCAGGCAGGACATTCATTTTTATTTTCCTTCTGTGGCCAGAGCTGAGGCTGAGGCAGGTATGTGCGTTTCCTGTCTCCCTTTGCTGGATAAGATCTGTTTTGCTTGCTGAGCTGCCCTTTGGGAGGCTTGGCTTTATGCAGGAGTCTCTGATGTCACCTCCTCCGTCACGCAGGCATGGGCTCTGCTTGCTCTCCCGAAGCTCTATGCCATCAGGGTTGTGCAAATATTCCCAAAGCGAATGCAGGTTCCCACATGCCCTTACCTTTTCCTTCCTGTATTCTAGTCATTTCTGATATCAGATTGTTGCCCTTTTCCACAAGCTTGGGCCTGTTGTGAATATACATTTTTGGATATGCTCTTCCTCATTTTAACTGTTCTTTACCAGGAGGCATTTGTCTGTCTATCTGATCCATTATATAGCAGGAAAGCAATGGCAGTACCCAGATTTATGAGTAGATGACCAAATGAACCACAAATGAAAATGCCCTGCACTATACTCATTGCGTTTTTGAAACTGATTTTGAATTAAATGTGAAACAACTTACACACAGACAGGAATCTTCCTAGCTTGTGTTGGAGAGTTTTGTGTTAATTGGGTGTATATTAAAATTTGAGTGACACATCATTTGATAAACATCTCATGTGTCAGGTTAAGGAGATTCTGTGAAAGAGGCAGAATAATGGAACTTTAATTAAGTCTCTGCCTGCTTCATTGATATTTAAGAGCCACTGTACATTTTCAGTGTGCTATTATAATTATTTATGCATTTAGAAAAGAAGCCTTCATTTTATTATTGTTCCACTATTTAATTACATTATTATTCTCTCTTCATTAGTCACTGGATGGCTTTATGATAATACTGAGCACAGATGGAGTGATAATTTTCGTTGGTGAAAATATCTCTTCCCTCCTTGGCCACTTACCAGTAAGTTCTTCCAGCTTTTGGGAAAGGATCACTGTGGTTTGTCATTTAGGGGCTCATTATTATTTGATTTCAGGAAGGAGCATAGAACTCAAGAGAGGAGATATTCTCAGTGTCAAAATGCGCACCTGTTTTATTGTCATCTCTATTGGGTTCGTCTTTAAATCTATAAAAACAAACTCTGAGATGAAGTCATGAAACACTGGTGTGTGTGGTCGTGAGTGTGAGTGTGTGTGTGCATGTGTAGTTTGTAAATTGCACCTCGAGGTAATTGCCAAAGAAGAATGTGCTTTCCAAAATGGCAGTCTCCTCAGAATTGGTGGTTGGTCCCCAAGGTGACTGCTTCGTGAGGCGGCCCTTATTGAGCTGAGTGCTTGATTTTGCACATTTCCTCAGAATCCGCCACATACCGGTTAAGTGAGGAATGTCATGATCTGTTCATGCTGGCTCACAGGATTGATTTCCAGGTGTGATTTGCTTCCCCCCTCCTCCTTGCTTATTTATATTAAACAACGAAATTCAAAATTATGATCTCATTTAGAAGACAATATAGAAATGATTGCCTAGCTTAGCAATGTCATAAATATTGCTGGAGACACCTACACATGAGTTGTAGTCAGGTCTCTGCTGTCCAAAATGGCCACTCGTTCCTGAGCCCTTTGGGGTTGCTATGCTCCTCTCAAGAAAGATTTCTCTGTCTTTGTAGTACCACTGACTTGGAATATGTGATTTCCTAAAAATTTTTCTGGATCTTTAGGCGGCACACCTTCAAATATGTCACTTAAATATGAAAATACTACATACATTCATATTCCACTCATGCAGAGCACATCCACCAGCACTCCTGACATCCTGGCCTTCGGCTGCTTGTATTAGTCGTAGGTGGATCGGCGTTCTCCTTGAATATTCCCCACTCCACAGAGTTGTCTCAAGAACTCAACAAACCCTGACCCACAGATCTATACACCCAAGTTTGGAGCACATAAATTCATAGAAGCTTTGTTAAACTCTTCTTTAAGTAAAGTTAGAAGTGGATTCGAAGCTTACTCCCCCAGTTACACTGTTCCCATTCCATGGCCCACTTGGAAGCTCAGAGAGGTTTTCTACTCTTGATTCTTTATTTACAGATGCTGTGATCCATCTCTTTATTTCTCATTCTCTTCCTTTTATAAAACAGTTTACATCTTCAAATTTAGTTTATATTTGTTGGGTACCAAAACAACTGAGTAAAATACAAATAGTACAGCTATTCATTGAATTGGACTTTAGAGTACTTATAGGATAATGGTCTTAATAAATGTATATTAAAAGAAAGAATATATGTGTATGACCCATTACAAATTAAATTTTGTTACAGTGAAAACTAGAAAACTACTCAAAATTCTTGTGGTATTAGGTATTACTTCAGCCAGAATGGTCATTGACAGAGACTGGTTACTTTTTCTTACTACATGAGTATTTTTCGCAGTGATAGTATTAGTTATAATATTATCTTTGTTTCTTTATATATTTTGGTGCAGAATTTTCACTCTCAAGAGACTCTTTCACCCTTCAACATTTGAGACCACACACACACACACACAGAGTCACCATAAGGTGATAGTGTCTGGAACATGGGTTAGAACAACTAATCTTAAACCATGGACTTGACTGTCTGATATCAGCATACTTAAAAACAAAGCTATAACTGGTTTGTCTATATGTAAACATTAAATGGGAATTGAATTATATATTCTTCTAAAATAGGGTTAAAAAGGACTATACCTGAGGCACAATTTCACACTTTTCCTCATTAAATCCTAACTTTTCTTAATTTTTAACAGCATGCAATCTTTTTTCTAGACTTTGATTAAAAATTTATTTTATAGGTCACCAATCTTACAAATATGGAGGGCAAACTATTTCTAGTACATCTGTCTGGCTCCAGGAATCTTCATTTCATTAATATTCAAGGTACCTCTGTCTATTGGGCAACTCCAAACTGATAGCATGGGAGGATGAAAAGAACTGGGTCTTTGGAGTCAGATAATCTGGAGATTAAAATTTAGCTCTGTCACTCACTAACAACACGAACTATAGTTTCTCACCTGTAAACGGGGAAAATATATTTCTTATAGAGTGACTGGAGGTGGGCTATTACATACAGTGTGCTTAGTGAAGGCCTGTCTGATCCTGTGACATTTCAACAGAGACCCGAATGGAGTGTGGGAGACATGCAGATAAGAACGAGTGTGTTCTAGGCAGAAGCTAAAGCAAGTCAGAAGGCACTAAAGCAGGAGTGTACTTGGTGTGGAAAAGAGGCCTCTGGGACTGACTAGAGCTCTTTGAGCAAAATGAAAAGTACCACGAGGTGATGAGGTCAGAGCAGTAGCAGAGGTCCGTCTTGTTTAAGGTCATTGTAATGACTTTTCCTCTTCCTCTGAGTGGAAAGAAGCCACTTCGGGGGATGGGGTGGTTGAAGAAGATCAGGGAAATGATCTGAAATCAAGTTTTATCAGGATCACTCTGGCTAATGTGTTAAAAAGAGGCCATGGGGGCAGACGTGGAAGTCAGAGGTCCACATGGAAAGCTACCACGATAGCCCAGGCCACACACGGTGAGGGGTTGCATTGGGGTGGTTGTAGAAATTGTCAGTGTTTTGTAGGTAAAATAAGTTTCGCTGATGGATTGGATGAGAGGAGGGGGGTGTGACAAAAAAAGATGGGAAGAGTCCATGTTATGATGTCACAACACATACCATGACTAAAATTATGGCTGTTTTCATCATCATGGTATTAAATTTATATCTGAAGTCTGCTGTCACACTTTCCCAGTCACTGATTTCCTTGACACTTTCTCCCTTGGAAACACCTGTAGGCACTTCTAGTAGTAACTTTTACTTATTTGTAGTCATTGCCTCTGGTCCCTAGCAGCCTGCCCTCTTACCCTACTTCACCACACACACAAAAAGAAATGAAAATTGGAAATTTACCTACAGTTCTCTTTCACTATTCTTAAACAAATGAAACCTTTAAAAGAAGCATTTCATCATGGAAAGAGTTCTCGGCATTGAGTTTTTCAGAGACTTTAATAGGTTTTGAATATAGGTATATGGTTTGTTTGTGATGAGTTTTGCTCATTTCTCCCTGTGAAACTTTACAGCACAGAAAAGGATTGCTAGTGGTGAGTCTTGTCTGATTCAGGATGTAGTCTGACTCTCATGCACAGGCTCTTATCCTTCCCAGTGCCCTATACGACTGAACAGTGCTGTACTGCATTCTTAATGTAGATGTCTCTGCCAGCAAAAGATACTTCTTGCCTGTATTCTTAGTAAGTGTCATAGACTGGAGTAAATTTCTTTATTCTTTTTTTTTTGGTATGACTGAGACTCACCATACTAATCTCTGTGGGACAACTAATAGGTATTTGCAAACTTGGCTTTGGAAAAACCTCCTTAATTTTTCACTGGTATTTAACCTTGCTTCATTAAGGTCTAAGCACCTTGATCTCTCTGCCTTGTGTAATAAGAAAAGCAAATGCCACAGATGTACAAAAATAACATGGTGTTGATAATGCTTTCAGTTCTCAGCCCTTAAACTAAAGCCCTTAAACTTAGAATATGATTGTATGTAGGGTCACTAGAATGATCATTATTTCCACTGTTTTTAGTTGGTGGTCAATTATAAGGCATTCATTATCACCATCACCTTCTTTAAAGAATCTAGTTAATTAATAAGAAACTCATTACCACCCGTTTCCATCCAAGAGAATTCACAGTATGAAAAGACCACTCACTTTGAATTCTTTTAAGTGACAATGTTATCCTTCATTCTTCTGCTAACGAAAGAACATTTTTCTACTAACAGGCCATAGCACTTTGTCTTTCTTGTTTGGTCTTATTTTATACTTTGCATCATAACTGCTTGTGCACATGTCATCTGCCTTGTTGAACTATGTGTTCATTGAAATTAGAATTCATGTCAGGTGAATCTTTTTTAACCCTCATAAATGCTCAGGGAAAGAAATAAATTACTTCACGTAGAATGTCCAAAATGTAGAAACTCACCCAGTAGCAAATCGGTGGTCCTTGTGCAAATCGGACTTGAGGCACCTATGGTGTGGCAGAAGGAACACTAAGACACAGAATTGGATGGAGCTGGGTGTGACTTTCATCTCTGAATTAGTGACTTCTCAACAATTGGACAAAGCTTAGTTTCCCTGTGAATAAAAAAGGGATAATAATTCTTCCACTCACAAAGTATTAAGTGAGCTAATTCATGTGAACGCACCTAGCACAGTATCTGGCATGGAGCAGTTGTTAATCATGTGCTGGATGAATGAATGAGTGAGTGGTCTCTACTGATCAGAGACAACTTGTTTTGGTACTGAATATGTGTTTAAAACTAAACCAATAAAATCATTTTTATTGAAAAAGGCTAAGTATAGTGAAAAATTAATCTGTATTTCTTTAGGGAAGCAAATTTCTTATTGTGTGACTTTAACTGCCACATTTTTTTGCCTGTTAATTTCACAATGTTTTGTTTGTTAAAGTAATATTTCTGCCCTGAAACAAGCCAAGCGTTTTCTTGATTAAAAGAGTATCCATCTGCCTATTTGAGCATCAGCCACCTCATAGGTTGGCTTCTAGAAATGGGCTATAAAAATATATTTCTGAATTTTGACTGTAAATTGTTAATATTAATCAGTTAAAAAATCATTTGAATCTCTGGTTCATCACCCAAAGCCATTATTCAGCTACAAAGAATACTTTGTTGCTTTGTTCCTATCACATTAAAACCTCATTACTTAACTTAAATGTCTGATACTCAATCTGTACAAGTGTCACGTATTTCAGCTACATGGTACAGCATTATTCATTCATTCAACTAATGTTTATTGAGCTCACCTAGGCCAAGCTCTGTTCTAGGTGTTGAGGGTATAGCATTGAACAAGACAACCACAGTGTCTGTTCTAGCATAATTTACATTTTACTGAGGGAGACAAATGTGACTATCATGTCAGGTAATAAGTGTTATAAAAAAAAGCAGGAAGAGAATGTTAGGGAATTGGTGCTGTATAAATTACATTTTTTGAGTAGAGACTTGAATGATGGGAGAAAGTCATCATAAATATATGGGAAAGAGTGTTTCATGTTGAATAAAGAGCATGTTTAAGGGCCCAGCATGACTGTTTTCTTGGTGCATTTGGATGCGAGAGAGGGTTTAGTATCCCTGAAATGCAGTGAGAGAGGGGCAGAGTGGAAGGCCGCCAGTAGGCGGCGAGGGACCGGAACACAGCCATGAAGGTCATCGCAAGCACCTCGGCTTTCACTCGGAATGGCTTGGGTAGCAAGTGGGAAGTGTGATCTGACTGATGTTTAAATGGATCCCTTTAGCTGCTCTGTGGAGAATGGAGTGGGAGCACGAGTGTGGCTAAAAGAGATGCATACAGAGACCAGTTAAGGCTAGAGATGATGGCTTAGACCAAGTGATGAGAAGTGGGTCAATTTTCTATGTATTTGGAAGGCATTACCACCAGCGTTTGCTGATGGACTGAGTGTGGGGTTTGAGAGAAAAAACACAAGCCAATGACTAGCATGTGGGTAAATGATGGTGCCATTTATTGAAATGAGAAAGACTGAAAGAGGAACATGTTCTGTGAGGAAAAAGATCAAATACACCGTTTTGGCTTTCTTGCAGTTGAAATCCTATCAGACGTCCAAGTTGAGTTATCTATGAGTTCAGGGAGAAGTCTGGACTGGAGGTGGAAGTTGGGAATCTTCTGATCATTATGAAAAGAGGGACATTTCATGATGATCAAGGAGTCAACCAAGGAAACAGGATAATCCTAAATGGGTATACACCTAATCACAACACTTCAAATGAAGTAAGAACTGAAGTAAATTTAGTTATCGTCGGTGAGTTCAACACTCCTCTATCAGTAGTAATCAACAGAGCAAGTAAGTAGAAAGTAGTAAGGATACTCAGACTCACCACACTGCCAACAAGCCTGGTCCAGGTCTGTTTACAGAACACCGCGCCCAGCAACTGTAGAACACAGTTTCCATTCTATGTGTAACAGTCATAACGATTCAAAATATGCTGGGTCATAAAACCAGTTTCAGTACATTTTTATGTATAAAAGCATTAAAATTATACAGATTATGTTCTCTGATCAAAACAGAATTAAATTGGAAATAATGAGCAAATATCTGGAAGAAACCCACATACTTGGAAATTAAATAACAATTCTAAATCATTCTAAATAATTTGTGGATCAAAGAAGAAACCACTGGAAAATGTTTAAACAAAAGAAGTTAGATCATATTTCTAACTATATGACTATGAAAATTAATTTTTATTCAAAAAATTGTATAATCTGATTGTAGTATATTCAAATGGCATTGCATGTATTTGTGGTATTACATATTTCCATCAAGAAAAGTTATATCTCTAATTATTAAATCACTTTTTCATGTTCTTTAATAGCATTTATAGCTTTCTTCATATAGAAAAGAAAGTATATAGCACTTAGTAGTTAATATAGCAAAAACATCCCAAAACATTACACAGAAAATAATGTCTTTATTGGAGCATATAAAAGACATATCCCTGGAGAGGAAGTCCCAGTGTCAACAAATTTACCAGCTCTCCCCACTGAATCTACAAATTAATAATTGTGATTAAAACCCAGTACACTTTTTCTTGCATTGGTTTCCTATACAAGTTCACAATTTAATTACAAAATTCTCATGTAAAGCAATGAATCTGAAATACCCACAATAATTTTGAAGAACATCAACAATGTAAAAGTGCCCTACCAGACAGCAAGGCTTGTTATCAAGCTATAATATTTAGGTAAATGGATAAGGGTGCAGAACACAGATGTAGAATAACAGGACAGAGGGTACCCATTAAGGAACAGATCCACGTATAAATTGAAATTTGATTTTATGGCAAAAGCTGCATTATATTTTGAAGTTTCTATCATGGACTGCGTGTACATTTTAATATAGGTCTTAATGAGACAGGTGATAGAGGGATGCCGGCAGATAAGAGTTCAGGGCCCCTGTAAGTTTCAAAGCCCTTGGAAGTTCCAAGAAGCTTCAGCGCCCTTATAAGTTTCAAGCCCTTTTAAATTTCAAAAAGCTCCAAACCAACTCAGCCATTCAAAAGCACACTTTAGTTTGATATACCTCAGCTCTGATTGGTTATGTCCTGTGCAAATGAAGTAGTGCACTTTCAGCCAATCAAGAATGGGTTGTGATGTCATCACTTCAGTTCTCTATTTGGTCCGGTTTTGAAAGAAGTTCTGCTGTGGGCGAAACGCTTCCAAACAGCACTTGCACACTGCAGAGTAAGTGCTCACGAAAGGAAGAGGATCAATGTGGCAAACTTCACTGTGGGCTTAAGAAATTGCCCCAGACCCCCAGCCTTCAGTAACCAGCACCCTCATCAGCCAGCAGCCACCCACATCCGGCAAGACCCGCCACCAGCAAAACAGTGAGGACTTGCTGACAGGTCAGATGATGGTGAACATCTTCCAGTGGTAAACTTTTCTAAATTAAGGTACGTACATTGCTTTTTTAAAACATAATGCTATTGCACACTTAATAAACTACAGTATAGCATAAATAGAACTTTTATACGCACTGGGAAACCAAAAAACTCATTCGACCCACTTTATTGCAATATTCACTTTATTGTGGTGACTAGGAATCCAACCTTCAGTATTTCCGAGGTACGCCTGCATGTCGCTGGTGGTCAAGAAAAGGGGCTGATGGTAATTTGGGAGGAAAATGGCCTTAATATCCAAATATTTTAGAATAAGGGTATTCTGTGTGGGTCTGTAAACAGGAGAGTGATAGAGATTCAAGAGAGGGAAGGGATATGGTTAGAAGATTGGAGAAAGGTTGTTTGATTCATTTCATAATAAAAACTCGAGTAATAAAAACTCAAGAGGGTTTGGAGACACTATCAGCACATTCTGAACGCCTAGTCTCAGAATATCGGATGCTAAATTCTGTGTGCACCCACATTCATACATACAAGGGCAATCACAGTGCCTTTAAAGTGGCCGCAGCTGGAGGAACTCAGTGTGGCCACGTCCCCCTGGGCAGTACAAGGCTTGCTCTGCAGGCCTGTCGCCCTGGGGCATCTGGCCAGGCACTCCCCGCTGAGATCTTCTATGATCCCGTTTTCCTGAAGGTGCTTCTGGTCCCAGACACTAGTGGAGCCGGTCACACCTGCAGCACGGCTGGTGCCCGTTTCTCTGAATCACACCCCTCGGCCCTCCTTTGTAATAAAAACCTTTTCTCACTCACATGAGCTGCGTTCATTATGTTCATCCGCTCATATCAGCTGCATGTTACGAACCTCTTTCTCTCACCTGTAATATTCATATTCTAAAACCAACCGGAAGGTCACACGAAACCATTATAAGAATCCAATTGCCACTAATTCAGAGAGGTCGATGCTTCTTCCTCGGGTGTAAAGAGATTTTTACTTCCAATAGGGGGGCCAGCTGAGACAGTACAGAATGTGAAAAATCGCCACCAGGATTCTATTAGCTTCTCCAGAAAGTTTGTCTCCCACCCCGCGGAGTGAGGAAAGGGGTAAGGTAACCTGGGGCGTCTCCAGGGCCTGGCAAAGCGTCAACAGCCAGAGGAGGGAGGCGCTGGACTCAGACGAACGCTGACCTGGGCGCAACAGACGTGGGGCGACAGGGAGCAGGCTGGGCAGAGGGGCAGCCGGGCAGGTGCAGACCAGGCAGGGGCAGGAGGGACCCTCAGCTCCCTGGAGGGAGGGGTGCCAGGAGCCCAGTGGGGTGCTCAGGGTCGGGGACTGGGGGCTGATGGGCAGCAGAGGCAGGGCCTGATGATGGGGGCAGGGTATCAGAGGGTCTTCAGCACAGATGCCCAGGCCATAGTGACAGCAGAAAGCAAGCGGGGACAGCGGGCACAGAAACAGTGGCCAGCAGGGTGTGCTGGGGCTGCAGGCAGAACTCGGGAGCAGGGGCTGTGCGGGGCAACACGGGGACAGCAGGTTCCCATGGTCCGTGACACCCACCAGAGAGGCGCTGGGCAGCAGAGGGTGAGGACGATGCCCGGGGATGGGGCGGTGAGGCTGGTCCTGCTGCTGCCTCCTGGAGCCGGGTCCCCCAGGTTACAGGGCAGCGATGCAGGCCTGCCCGATGTGAGACGCAGCCTGCCGCCTGGCACACTGGCAACAAGTCGAGATAATCACTGAGTTATTCTGAAGATCGAAATGAGAAACCAGGTGAAAAGGAACTTCCCGCCCCATCCCTTCCCTTCCACATAGGGCCTCCCGACTGGCTCTCCCCCTTCAGCCTCCGCATCTCCACAGCACTGGGCACAGTTTCCCACTGGCAGGGTACAGCCCGAAATGGGAGGCGACGTGGAGTCCATGTTCTGGGAAGCTGTCAGCAAAAGCCAGGCTGTGAAGACTATTGCCTGCCCCTGGGGGGTGGTCAGGTCACAGCTGGGGATGGATAGTCTGCCGTGTCCTCTGGGGCCACCTGATGCCCCTCTCCAGGACCGCCCACAGCAGTCCCCACAAAGCCACATCCCCAGAGCCTCCCACACGCCGCTTCTCTCCTCCCAACTCCCGCCACATCTGTCCCTCCCTTCAGGGGCCCGCTGGGGGCTAGCACTGATCTGACAGGTGAATTCTGAGCTGGCCCCCTGAAAGCTCCTGTCCCTCGAATGGCTGCACTGTATCATCGGGCAGGTCTCGGCTCAGACGTTCCCCCTGGACAGCCCTCCCAGCTCCCAGGCCTGTAACCACCCTCTGCAATGACCATGCTCATTTGATGACAGCTCCCTGCCAACATCCGCCGCTGGAAAGCAGCCCACGGGAACCAGGCGTGCAGCCCCGGTGGCTGGCAGAGCAGGGGACACTGATGCCTTCTTATCAAATGAATGAACAGGGGTCAGTGCCCGCTCTTCCACTCCGCTGCATGGGGAGCTGTCCTGGGCCTCTCTCCTCACCCGTGAGGTCTGCTCTAATAAAATAAAAATGAGCCCAGCATTGCTTTCATTATTACCACTAAGAAGAATGCTCCCTCTTCTCCATGAATCGGCAAAATAAGAGTTGAAAACTGCTCTTTCCTGAGGTTTAGAGTTCAAATGGAAATGACCATGAGAAAATCAGGACAGCCTTTCTCAGGACCGGGAAGACTGCAGAGATGGCCCCTGAACTCCCGTGCAGGACCTGGAGTCACAGCCATCCTTCCTCCCGAAGCTGCAAGTCCTCTGTGCATAGCACCTCCAAGCAATTTTCAGAGCCCTCCTTTCCCAAGCCGCTGAGGCCTTTAGCGGCAGCCCGGCAGCACCACGCTTGTCCGCACTCACTTCCAAACCAGTGAGAGGAGGTGAATTGTTGCTCATGTCCTGCCTTTGTGAACTTCTAGCAGAGAAAAAAAGTGGCACAACTCCAAGAGGGTCTTCCAGACCAGTGACCCTCCTGTCCAGGTACTTGACCGACAGGGTAAAACCAAGAACGTGCTTTTAATTGCACCTGACAGCCTGTGTCCTTGAAAGGTTGTGGGCTCGTTCCAACACACACAACTCCAGCTGTGCACAAGAAATAAAGTCCTCCACCTCTGTCAGAGGAGCCTATGGGGAATTAGGCACAGAAACAGAATTCCACCAAGTGGATTAGCATGCAAAGCAGAACTATCTCCCACATTCAGTCAGCCATCGAGAAATAAATCAAATTCGAAGAATGAAAAGTGGCCTCTTTGTTTAAATAGCCACAAATCCATTTTATGTTGTCTCTTCCCAATCATACAACTTGAGAAAGTGGTGAAAAGAAGCCTTTTGCTTAGGGATGACCCTTCAAATAATGTCAATATTTTGGCTGACTAAAAATGGGATATCAGGAGAATTTGTAAATAGGAAAAACATGTAATCTCCTAGTAATTAAAGCATTTCTCTATCAAAGAAACATTAAACAAAATCAGGAATATTAAAGTTGAGTCACTAGAGGGAAAATATTCAGTATATTTTTCTAGGGAGCAATTTGACAGTATATATATACATTAACCCTTAAAAATAGGATTATTTTGATAAGCAATGTAACTTAATGGGAATTCATCTTATGGATATAAAGATATAGAAGGAAAAGAATCAGCTGTAAGCACTATCTGTTAAAGGAAATTTGGGAAGATCCTGAAGTCAAATCATGGTGGATTTATTAAATATCAACTATAGCTACTCAATGGACTACTGCACAGCCATTAAAAATTATATTGAATGTCTTTATAGACCCAAAGATATTACTGAACTATCACACAGGAAAACAAGGTAACTAAAACAAAACATAGTGCATTTTACAATTCAACTTGGCGACAATATATGTACTTATATATGCGTCTATACTACATATGCACAGCAAAGGGACAAGGGACTTAAAGGAGGTGACAGAGGCTATCCGACAGCTGAGACAGAGAGTGTTTTTATAATTTTTTTCCCTTTTATTTTTATTTCCTGAAGTTGTTACAGCGAAATACATTGTTTAGGTAGTAAGAAAAAAACAAGAATATTTCTGACTGACTAGGGAAAAAAAATCCAAAATAAACATGAGAACTGACACAGAAGGAATGCCTACCCACATAAAGGGGCTGCTGTCCCCACCCGGAGGGGGCACCTGAGCCACACTGGGGTGAGCTCTGACCCCCCGACCCATCAGGACCCATTCGGAGGGACGGCAGAGACGGTGAATTTCAAGAATACTGCCCACATCACTTGAAGAATATAAAAGGCAAAGATATTTAAATGGGACTTAGTCAGATAACTGTGTACCTGAAGTAAAAAACAAGTTCTAGACGGTTCCCCACAGGGACAGGAGACACCCATCAAATGTCCTGGCCAAAACACTAGGACCAGGAACTGCATTTGGAATGGCCACAACACAGATCCAGCAATTTTTTACCGAATTCACTCATTCCGGGGTCCAATTTCAAGCTTCTACTGCAATGCTTATTGAATGAAAAGTTACATTAAAAAAGACTCAGTGTGAAAAAAACCTGACTGTAAAGTACAGTATGTATTATACGACCCCAGAGGTTTGTCCCGTGTCTGGAATCGCGGATCGGAACACCCGGAGTCTTCCAGGCGAGGGGCTGCACTTCTTGACGCCAGCTCAGACGGTGTACCTCGGCTCTCCTTCGTGTTTCCCCCTGTGGTGCTTCAGGTAGTCACTGTGCAGCTCCTTGAAGACGTCCCTCGCCCCTGGCTGCAGGGACACCCGCAGGAACTGCACGTCTGACTCGATGCAGAGATCCAAGAGGAGGTAAATGCCCTCCTGCAGGAGGCTTTTCACCGCCGGGTACAAGGTGACCTGGAAAGGGGGACACATCTCTCCATAACGGCAAACAGCCAGAGGCCACTTGAGGAAGACAGTCCTTTAAAAATATTTTGCACATAACTTAAATAATTGAATATTCGTATCTTAAAAGTTTGTATTTTGGGGAAATAGATGCCAACTCGAGCAAACAAATACCTGGAAGAACACATCACAAAATCACAGGCGAGGCTTTGCTATTTGGTAAAGGATGTCTGCGTGTTTACCAGGGGCATTTAAAACCTGGAATCTTTAAATTTAAAAATCTTGTAAAATCAGCACATTGTGTCAAATCCTTCCATGTGGCAATCGCATCAAATCCTTCCAACCAGGCAGGCAGGTTCTGACACTCTCCAGACATTGATAGATTCATATTAATAATCAGATCACATCCTAGGCCCAGCATCAGATGTGATTTATGATCACACTTTTTATTTCTGTCAACAATCATACAATGGGACCCAAATTTCTAACTGCCCAGAATGCTTGAATGGTTCCCTGCAACTAAAGAATGCATTTCTTCCCAGAAATTCTGTATTCACTGAAATTTGGGGTCACAGCAGGAAGAGCGGGCAGGCCAGCCCTGACTCAGAGGTATGGACAACACAGGTTTTCATTCCAGAGTCAGACCAACATCTAGACCAGAAAGCCAGAAAAGCAGGCTCTGCTCACATTGCCACAGCCACTCGGGCTTCAGCCGAGCTCAGTGCTGAGCACCCTGACCCCTCAGTAGCTGAAACCAAAAAAGGGAGGGGGGCTCCAGCCGGCAGGCCTGGCATCTGGCTGATTCTTATTAATGTCCTTATGACCTACTAGAGTGTAACACAGATTCTAGTGAGGATGTATTTTATTAACTAGGAGACACCGGAGTCAGCAGGGCAACCACTGGGGGGACAGGGGGGTGCACACTGCTAGTGAGGCGATTTGTTTCTGTCGCTAAGATGACACTGTCTGTCGGCTATGGCCACTTCCACACGATGGTTCAAAAATCGTCCGACAGGTGCTCATCTTAAATGGTGCTGCTGTTGCACAGGTGACAAGAATGCTGGAGGACCGCAGGTGGACAGACAGCTGTCTGACTTCACAGCCGTTAGGGTGGGGAAGGACAAATGAGACAAATGGACAGAAGGAAAATAAAAGAAGCCCTGATCTTACTGGCAGGGTGAGGATTTTGCAAGTTAGCGGATCATGCATTCATTCAATCCTCACTCACTGAACACACGATTCTGCTTCCAGAGGCGCAGGAGGTGAGGAAGGCCTGGCAGGCCTGCGGTGGGGGCACCCCTCGTGCGGCATCTCAGCGAAGCACGGCCAGAGTGCAGGAAGGCCCACAGTGCCCACACAACCACCTCGCACCTGTATGTTTCAGACAACTTTATAAAACAGTCACTTTCTACAGTATACTCAGATCACGGGCCTCTGAATGAAAACATCTCCAAGTAGCTTCAAAGGGTCTCAGGCAGGATGAGCAGTAGACTATTTACTCCAAGCTACCAACAGAGAGGGACAGCTGTAAATTTGATCTACAGGTAAAAGTAAAGACAAAAGTGACAACCGTTTTGCTGATGCACCTCCCCTGTGACATGACTGCATGGGAGGCCGAGGCCGACGGGCGCCGCTGCTTCCACTGGCCAGTCCCACCAGGTCATCTGCTCAACTACTGAAAGACCTTTGCCAGGACCCCATCCCCCTCAGAAACATGAGGGGATGCAAAGGAGATTTATTTTGCTATGCTTGCCATCTAATATTTAATTGCACTTAAGAAATGTCTCTGGTCTAGAAAGATTTATGGCTCTCAGTAGAAGCCTCTGATGCGTATAGAATATTTTCTTTATTATTGAAACAAAAGATAAAACATAGTCTGTCCTGCCAATGGACTTGGGCAAGCTGCAGCTTTAGAGAATACCCAAGGCTCCCAAGATTAAAAATAAAAAAAAAATAACTGAAAGCAAAAATTAGGCATGAATAAAAAAGCCAAGAACCACAGACCTCTCCTATCTCAGAATAGCAATTAGTGACTTGAGGGTAATACTTAAATGGTATTACCATGTCTCATTTTATTCTTTGGAGAAACAGAAAATAATGCCAGCTTTTCTTTCAGCAAAAGCTTACATATTAATGACTGGAGTGCTTGGGAAATACCAAGATTCTATAAAAATGCTACATAACACAGGGAAAACAAATTCCACATCCACATCTCATTCAAGGGATGATCTGAAAGGGTGTCCGTGTGCCCCAGCTCTCACACGCCCTGTGCCCAGTGAGGGTCCAGTGCACACCCATGGGGTAGGCTAATCCCTGCAGCTTTCCCCCCAAACTCCCACCTGGCCAACGGCCCACCTGCACGATGGACATGTCCACAGGCTAAGCCAAGCAGCGCCAATGGGTTTAAAAATTATTTAGTAGTTACCAATTCATCCTGAAACAAGGTCAGGATAAAAGCCAGGACTTCGGAGGAAGTCCATTCAGCTTCATCTCCCTTGAGAAATGCTGATGCAACAAGTTTACCAGTGGCTTTAAGGTCATTCTTATAAGATTACAAAAGGGGGGTTATTCTATGGGGAACAGTATAAGCAATATAGCTGTATGTGTGTAATATGCACACAAGGAGATAGGTACACACATGAACACATTGTACTTTAAGCCACTGGCACTCAATTTAAATAAAGGACGGCATGAAGTCCTGTATTGGACTTACTCTACAGGTCACACGGGTGTGTGCAATTTTGAAAATAGCACCCTGACATTCCGAAAGGAGATCGCTGTTGAACAATGAATTAATTATCCAGAATATTGAGTCAAAGACTCAGATTAACTGGGACAGTATATTTTGTTTAATCTAGCTCAGCAAATCTGCTGGTACCTCTACGTCACCTACTGAGCGTGTCTGAGTACAGCCACAAGCATGGTGGACCCCAAGAGACCTGCGGACTCCTGCTGAGAGGCCCCCTCTTTCTGTTCACCAGGCTACTTGGTCCTAGAAGAGTTCCTGCTCTCAGATCCGGTACCACTGCATCTCCTTTATTATTCAAGATATTAACCAAAACAGGCCCAACGTTTGTGCTGGAGCAAGAAGAGACATCTAGCGATTACTGAGTGCTGTCTGCATACCAGGCACCGCCGGCCCTTTGAACGCCCTTATGCTAACCCTGCGGGGGCGCTGTGAACACTACAGATGCACGGGGCCATCTGCCACAACACAGGACTGTCAGGACCAAGATGCCATCTGCTGCACTGGTTGAGAAGCCCAGTGACACAGGCGGTAAACGAGAGCGCGTGGTGAGCCAGTCAGCTCGGCCTACCTTCTGCACCTCCGACACATACTGGGCCACCAGGAAGGGTGAGAACACCGTGAGCTCCTCGACCTGAAGTGCGATGTGGCTGTACATCCTTGCCACCAGGCGGGCGCACTCGAGGACCACCGGCAGGTCATCTGTGCTGCCTGGGGAAACAAAGCGTTTCCATGTTGATTAGTTCAAAAACTGTGCATGTGACTCCTTTAATTTTATACTTTTAACACAGCTCAAAATTAATCAACCCTTCTGTTTTTTTCCAGACTCTTTCATTGGCTTATTTTGCAGATAGATATGTCCAAATACTTATCTATTTCACAAACAAATGAACACTTGAAATACTCAAGAGAACGTGGGAATTTTTTAAGAGCCTAAATAGAACCATCAAGATTTTTAGGACATAATCTAGAACTGCCATGGTATTTAAAAGGAGATGGATCTCTACAAGGAGGGCTCGAAATGGGAGAAAAATGGAAAATTTCTTGTAAAAAAAGGTTTTTGACATCATAGGATTTCAAAGGTGGCCTAACTATGTCTAACCTCCTCACATTTCAGTAATTGTTTGTGTGGAATTTTCTTTTATAGGCAGGTAGACATTAAGCCTCAACCATCATTGCTAGATACACCCCTGTCTTTCCAGATTGATTTCCAGTTCCTACCTCTTTCTACCTATAGGTACCAAGACCATCCAGGCCCTTCCTAACAAACTCCTCCCAAAAATTCCAGCAGCCTTACTGTCCCCGCAGCCCAGGTGGCACGACTTCACATGAGAGCCTGGGTGGGAAACCCACACACGCCAGGGCATGTTCCCCACTTCCATGCAGCATGGCCACGTAACACTTCGATAAAGTTCTAGAAAATGCAAACAAATCTACAGTAACAAAAAGCAGACTGGTGGCGGCCCGGGGCAGAGGCCTGCGAGGGCAGCGGCTGGAAGAGGTCTCTGGCGCTGAGGCAGCTGCTGTGTTTCGATCGTGGTGGTGCTTCCCTGCAGGTATTTACCTTTCAACATTCACTCAATCAAATACCTTAAACAGATGCAGTTTGTTACACATACACTGTGCCTCAAAAGGCTTGGCTTTCAGAACCCGCAACGTCTTTTTTTGACACCTTGAATCACCAAACATCTTACATACATGCAACTTTTCTGCATCAGTATAATTTTATGAAATTACAGGAACTGCTAACATTCACTGGGCATTTCCACAGGCATACGCTTGAGTAAGGCACTTGACACCTGATACAGACCATTTCTTCTCTTTTTTCAGACCACTCAACACACACATGCACTTCACAACATCAATACCTGGCACTGGGTATTTCAGCCACAGATTTAAACATGGTCGTAAAAGACTGCATTAGATTCCAACAAGAAGAGTGAACACTTAAAGCCCTGCCCAGTTACGCCACGAATACATCAGAAAGCAGGTAACTGAGCTGCACCAGCATGCATGCAGCAGAGCCCCACGCTCCCTCAGAACACACCACGAAGGGCACGTTTACAACTACACAGCTTCATGCAGGACACGCCTGTGCCATGTGTCAGGAGCTGGTCCCACCGCCGCTCGGCGGGGCCTGGGCCTCCCTCCCAGCTCCCGTCCAGGCAGCATTGCCAGCCGGTACAGGCAGTCCTCCTTGATGAGCTCAGATGTGCTCTCAGGCCTCTGCAGAGCTGCAGTTGGCCACCAGCAGCTGACCCAAGTTGGCCTGGGACACGGAGCCTGTTCCTGATCCTCCTCCTGCACGTATTCACAACACGACATGATGCGCGGTCTGCACCACACATGGGAGAACTGGCCACTGGTCGATCCCCAAATGGGCAGAATTATTTGGACAGCATCACCCAGCTTTACACCTTTTCTTTTCTCCAAAGTTGCCTGGTTTAAGTAACTACTGCTTAAATCCAAAAGTCAGAACCTCACATTGCGACAAGTGGACTACCACCCATTTATTTTGAGCCAATCTGGAAGCACTGCCACCAATCCCTGACACCCCCCTCTGTGGTCCCCAAGCACAGCAGACACACAATCCTCAGGCTTAGCACATCGCATGGCATGAGGATGGCTGCCCCATGCTATGCAAATGGGAAATTGTGCAATATAGACAGTCTCACTTTATGTGCAAATTTTTAAATGAGACTCTCCCCCAAGTTAGAAGTTTAGCAAGAATCTACAAAATGCAAGGCTGGAAAACAAGCTGTACACATACTCTGTGCTATTGCCACATGGCTGTTTGCTTTCTCTGTAAATAAACGCAACCTTGCCAAGATGAGGCTGGAAGGGTGAGCTGCAGAAATGCCTCCCATTCATAAATGAGGAGCTCTAACACCAACCTGTCCTTTCCAATTTCTCTGTTAAACTATGGGCTCCTTATGGGCAAGAACAGGGTTGTCATCATTTTTATATCCCCTTTATATGTGAATAAATATTCCCTGAATCTAGACCCTTTTTTCATTTACCCAGAAAAAGAACTACTTCAGTTAGGTAGTATAAAATGCATTCAGTGTTCTGGAGAGTTCTAAAAAATGTGATGGTGTGATTTTTTTTAAATCATTGTGAGTATTCGCTTGATGACCTGAATGTTTCTCTTATTTAGACTCAACTGTGTGGTTTTATTTTCAGGAACACATGTTGCCAGAGACGCTGCAAGATAAGCACATTTGAAATCATGTGTTTGATACTGTTTCTCCGAATTACCTTTATCTTTCTGCCGCCCTTCATGCATAACTGAAAACACCAATCTATTAAAACAGCTCAGGAAAGATGGGCTGGCTCTCAGCATTACCTGTAATAATAATAAGCAAAAGCATATAAAAATGTTAGTAGTTATTTATTTCAAGTTTCTCTACTCTAGAGGAACTCATATTTCTTTCTTTCATAACTTTATCACGATGCTCAACAGTTGTGGCAAGTTCTCTCTGCCTGGACCTTCTGGGGAACTTACTTAACTGACATTTGTTTTGGTGTTTTGGGGTAGGGTTTCCATGCCGCATAACTTCAGAAATCTAATGGGGGTAATCCTGGTGTAGAATTTGCTGAATCTGTGTCTTTTACTGTAAGCTGTTGCTAGTGCATTCTGGAAATGGGAAAATAAATAATAAAAAGAATAATAGCCAATGTATTCAAGTGCAACTGGCACTAGAAAAAAAAAAACACTACATAAAGCAAATTTATTTAAGATGAGGATCAAAACCTCCATTTTTCAGTGGTGAAAACGACTGGCTGGGACTTTATCTTGAAAAATGGTACGAAAATTATAAAACATGATTCTTTTATATTTAACCATCCTTAGATTGTGACCAGACGGATAGATACACTGTCCAATAAAGCAGCCACGAGCCACATGTGGCTACTTAAATGTAAATCAATGATGATTAAAATTCATTTCCTGGTCATACAGTTCCTAGATCCCATGCTAAGTAGTCAGGACACCTGTGGCCAATGGTTACTGCGGACAATGCAGACACAGAACAAGCCGACACCCCCGCATGCTCTGCCGGACAGCACTGCTCTGATTCTCAGAATGAACAAAGAGTGAATCAAGTGTTGGGATTCTCTCCTTTGGTATAATTTATCCAACCAAATTCTTAGCAGTATAATGTCACATTCTTTACGTCAAATTATCAACTTTGCAAGTATGTTCTGAAAGAGGTCATTTTTGCAAAGATATTCCAGGGCTTCATCAAACTTCCCAAGAACCTCCGTTAATCCTCTGCTATCATATTAATTAAAAACACACATACCCAGGGCTAGAAATGTGAGTTCACACCCTGGCTTAATATGTGATCCTGGATAGATTACCCAACCTTTCTGTGCCCATTTCCTCATCTGCAAAATGAGGATGGGCTGCTGATCTGCTGGGTTCCCTGGCCGGGCCGGCATCATGCTGTCACTTTTCAGTTCATCTGAGCACATGCTGGCGCGGTGCTTTTACCAGCGCAGACCTACTACATACACCGCCAACATGATGCTCATACACTGCACGGGGTCCTCTTGGCCCACTCTACCCCACAGGCAGTATGAGAGTCACATCATTCTTTATTGCAATAGCATGCCATCATCCTTGTCAATTTTCTCCTTTTATTAAATGGCCTAATTCTGCTAAATGGTCATCTGTTGGTGGTTTTGCAGCAGAGTCATACAGAGCTTTCTAATACTACCTTCACCAAATGCATGAAATCCTGTATCTTTTGCAAGATGGACAATTCCAGTTTGTAAGTGATTTGTACTGCATCTAGTTTGTACAATCACACGGAGATCGAATGACCAGGAGAGACTGAACAACAGAGATACCCATGAGAAAGGGACTGTCGGAAGGAGGGGGCACCGGCGGGGGCCCAGGAACACAGGCGCTGCTCTGCCAGAGAGGAACGTTTTTAAAACCTGCATTACTGGTAGGTCTCTATTCTTAGAACATTAAACCAGTTAAAAATACTTGAATGTGCCCATGTATGCATTTATCCTATTTGTGAGTTCCCAGGCACCACACAGATAGCGGTGGCACCGTGAGAACAGCACAAAGGCACACACAGTCCTCAATCTGAGACTGAGAGTCAGCTGGGTGACGCTGTCAGATCATTTAGCAGCTCTGAGCCTCAGTCTATCAACAGAGTGGCACTGCCGCCACCTACTTTACAGACTTGTTGTAAGGATGAAACGAGACATACAGCAGATGCTCCATACACGCCGGCTGAGCCGGCATCTTTTCAGTGGGACACTCATTCCTACCTCAGTTGGAGGCAAACGCACGGTTACTATAAAGCTGGGAC